TTCCACATGTCTGAACCATCCCACTTCACTAACTGTGAGACTGATGTTGTGAGATGTTATGTCCTCTGAAGTGGTAACAAAGCATGGCCAGTCACTCTAACATGCTGCTTTCTGTTGCTTGCAATTTTATTGAAAGAGCCCTTGAAAACATGGTCTTGTATGATACACATACAAAGAAAGGAAAATGTCAATATTAATTGATAGGCTGGTGTTTTGGCTCATGTCTGTAGTCCTAGCACTTTGGGAGGCTGGGACAGGAGGATTGCTTTGAGCCCAGGAGTTGGTTTTTTTTTTTTTTTTTGAGGCAGAGTCCCACTATGTCACCCTTGGTAGAGTGCTGTGGCATCACAGCTCACAGCAGCCTCAAACTCTTGGGCTTAAGTTATCCTCTTGCCTCTGCCTCCCAAGTAGCTGGGACTGCAGGTGCCCACCACCATGCACAGCTATTTTTAGAGACAGGGTCTCGCTCTTGCTCAAGCCAGTCTCAAACTCATGAGCTCAGGCAGTCCACCTGCCTCAGCCTCCCAAAGTGCTAGGATTATAGGTGTGAGTCACTGTGTTCAGCCCTTAGAGCACAGGAGTTTGTGGTACTAGACTGAACAGCATAGCAGAGAAGTAGGAAAGGTAGCCAAGTGTGGTGGTGGGTGCCTGTAGTACCAGCGATTCAAGAGGTTGAGGCAGGAGGATTGTTTGCGCCTAGGAGTTGGAGGCTGCAGTGAGCTATGGTGACACCACTGCATCCTACCTAGGGTGAGAGAGCAAGACCCTGTCTCAAGAAAAAAAAAAGAAAAACCAGATAAGATACCCTACATGTCTTTACAGAGTGCCCCTCTCCTGAGTCCTGGGTGTTTGGCTTCCCGCTCAGGGCCAACCAGTCCTCCGTGCCATCTAGTGTGTGTATGTATGTGTGTGTGTATGTGGGGGCGGGATACTCCGTGATGCACACTGTCTGCTGAGCCACTGGGCCCTGTTGTGCAGGTGTGTTACTGGCTCACTCCTCATCTTACTGGAAGGTAGCAGGACCAGGCCATCAGCAGATGTGAGATGCATTTAACATCGTGACTTTAGAGGTATTGAAACATAAAAGGCCAAGGCTGGAAATGGCATCTTGTGATTAGAATGCTGTGGTGACCCGTGGCACTGACCGCGGGCAGGTCCTGACTTCTGGGGTCACCATTCCTGTTCTAGCGTGTTCCCTCCTTTTTCCACTTACATTAGTGTACTGTGTTTTTGGGTATTGATTCAGTTACAGAAATGGTGGTTTAATGTGGTTATGTATGAGGATATGAGATCTAATGAGTAAGACTTGAGAAAAATTTGGAGTGTGCACCTGGAGAGGAGATGAGGCCCTGACCCAGCCCTGTCCCCTGCTGTCCTGCCCAGGTCCCTGGGTGGGCGAAGTCTGGCCCAGTGCAGGTGTGCACTTTGGTCTAGTTGATGTGGGTCCTGCCATCCCGGTCCTGGTGGCACTGTCTTCTCCCATCACGTGGCGGGTGATTCTTTGCCCTCCAATGTGCTTGCCTGCTGTCCTCAGATCACTGGGGCTGCCCTCACCAGGTGCAGGGCCAGCCCCTCTGTCAGAGCAGACTGAGCAAGTCGAGAAGAAATCACCTTAAAATGATGAAACCATGTTACAGGAATTTGGGGGGGACATTAACTGTAATCCCAGCACCCCACGCTGTTGTCTCTACCATTTTCAGTCCCTTCCTGTAAGTGCTTTTCATTTAATCACATTACGTATATAATTTGTAATTTTCTGGTTGATGTTATAAGCATTTTGTCCTGTTTTTGGCTTTCATGGCTCTCAGGGCGAGAGCGTGTGGAGAGCCTTCTTGCCTTGGTCTCAAGGCCGTCGGGGCGTGGGGCCGGGGGCCTGGGCCATTCTGCAGGCTCCAAAGCCCGTGGGGCCTAGATTTGAAATGCCTGTTTCATCTGAAAGCAGCTGAGTAACATTCATCTGCTTCTCACATTTTCCTGTCCAGATGTGAATCACTTCCTACTCCCAGTCCAGAAAGGGGTTTTTTCTTTCGATTTTTTTCAGAAACCCTAATATTATTCAGGCCTGGAACACATTCGTTCACATGGGTGGTCTGTGGCAGGGAGACTGCTGACAGTGTGCCCTGCACTTATCAGGAGCTGTGTCTTCTGTTGTTTAGAAAAGTACGTGATACAGGGTAGAGTGATGTCATTGTGGCAGGATTTTAAAATACTGGTTTGGAAAAACATAGGAGTGCATGTTTGCTGACAGTCTGGCTGAGGAAGGCAGTCAGGGCAGGGAGCTGCCCTGAATGAGACCAGGGAGGGGCTGGCCCCCCTCTGTGCTGGGCTCTCTGTTACATCAGATGGGAAACAAACATGCTTGTTTTTTACAACTCCTTCCTGTAAGGTGCTATTTTAACCTTAAAATACTCTAGTCCAGATGGATTCTAGTGCTCCAAGAAAGGCACACGGTCCCTGAGGTGTCAGTGGTCTGAGCAGGGCAGGCTGGGGAGGCTCTTCCTGCACTAGGCCTGGTGCAGGGCCACTTAGGCCCCATCTGCTTCTATGACCCAGCAGCATGGTGTGGCCTGGCACGAGCGGGATCTTGTAAGACATGTTGGTGAATGAATGATGATGGCTGTTCAGAGCAGAGATCGGCAAACATACCCTGCAAAGGTGTTGACAGTAAATATTTTTGGCTTTGGGAGCTGTGCAGCGCCTGGTGCTGTGCCTTGGCTGTGCTGTGGGGTGCGGGGCCTCAGGTGGCTGTAGACAAAGGGGGTGGCCATGGCCTAAACGGCCCCTCAGAGGCAGGTGGGTAGCCTGGGTGAGGCTGTCTGGGGAGTGTAACCCGATGACTGGACTATCTGTGTCTGTGCCATCCACTGTGGCAGCCCCAGCAGGTGTGGCTGCCAGATGCCCAAAATATGGCTGTTTAGTACAACTGCAGGACTGAATGTTTAGTTTAGGTTGATTTGAATTTACGTAGTCACATGTGGTTGGTGGCTCCCATACTGGGCTGTGTAGGCTCAGAGCCCTCTCCAGAGTAGACTGTGCAGAGCCCGTGGTTGTTTTCAGGGTCGTCTATATACATTAAAGTAAGAAAATTCGGTGGCCAAAAGAATTAGAGAATCACTGTTAAAAATAGTTAAAAACAGAAAGTTATTTACTAAAGGATTTCTCAGAGCCTGTAGTGTGCTAACGTACATTAACAGCACACGAAAGCCGGGCACTGGGCTCACACCTGTAATCCCAGCACTTGGGAAGGAACGCAGGAGGATCCCTTGAGCTCAAAAGTTCGGGACCAGCCTGTGCAAGAGTGAGACCCCATCTTTATTACAAATAGAAAAACTAGCCAGGCATCATGGCAGGCACCTGTAGTCCCAGCTACTTCGGAGGCTGAGGCAAGAAGATCACTCAAGCATAGGAGTTTGAGGTTGCTGTGATGCTGTGATGACGCCACAGTACTCTCCTGCGCAGCAGAGTGAGACTCTTGCTCAAAATAAAAACAGAAAACAGGTGATAAGAAAGGGTTTCTGTGGCTCGGAGCTTGCCGCTCAGTGGTTAGGACGTTGGCCACATACACTGGGGTTGGCAGGTTTGAACCAGCCTGGGCCTGCTTAAAACAACAATGACAACTACAGCATAAAAACAGCTGGGTGTTGTGGTGGACACCTGTTGTCCCAGCTACTTGGGAGGCTGAGGAAAGAGAATCACTTAAGCCCAAAAGTTTGAGGTTGCTGTGAGTTGTGATGCAGCAGCACTCTACTAAGGGCGACATAGTGAGAGTCTGTCTCAAAAAATAGAAAAAAGAAAAGGGGGTTCTGAGATTTGTTTTTTCCCAAAGCTTTTCAACTATGCATTTTTCTGAGGGGTGGCCACATGTGTTCCTTGGAGATGACTTTGGAAAACACTGGTCGTATTGAGTGTCTCACGTTGGACAAACTGAGGTTTAACAGAAGTGCAGATGTCCCCCTAGCACACGGCCAGTGGCTTCTTGCACAGCAAGAGGGGTGGCAGGTGGGGCCTGGCGTGTCGGGGCCTTCCTGTGGAGAGGGAAATCTTGGAGCGGTGGCTGTGTGGCATGGTGAGATGGGCCAGCACGCCACAGACTGTCTAATGAGTGACTGTCTGACCTGCACAGAATATTTGGGTTCATTGACTGGATGCAGTGGCTCATGCCTATCATCACACTGGTTTGGGAGGCCGAGGATGGAGGATTGCTTGAGCCTAGGAGTTGGAGGCTGCAGTGAGTTATGGTGACTCCACTACACTCCAGCCTGGGTGACAGTAGGAGACCCTGTCTCAAAATAATAAATAGAAGAATGGTGCTTAAAACCTGTATCACCTGATTTTTGAGAAGGGAAAGGTGTACCAGTGTATGTGGAGAAGGAGGGAAGAGGAGGTCGATGGGTGCAAGGCACTCTGGCTAGCTCCTCCTCCCTGTCACCTTGTGCCACCTTGGTCTCTGAGGCCTCTTCATGCTCTGGGACCATGTGCTTCATCTCTTGGCTCTCCTTAGCTGCTGGCTCTGGCCTCGACCCTCCCTGGCCTGAGAGAAGGGGGAGAGGACACAGAGGAGGGGCTCTCTGGGTGGCTTTGTGCTTGGAGAAAGACTGTGTGTAACGTCACAGTTGAAAATATCGAGCATTGTTTTTTCAGAAATTAGAGCAGACTGGTCACTGCTGTGAGGTTAGCAGAGGCCGCGCGCCCGGTCCCAGGTGTGGCTTGTGCTGTCCTGCAGCACTGTCCTCGCTCCCTTTTCCTGGGACTTGGTTTTGTTCTTGTCTGTACTTTTCTGTTTTGCTTCTGAATTTGCCCTCTGCGTGCACTGGCTTCTTACTGTCCTCTGAAATCTCTGGTTCCAGTTGGGCCCCACAAAGTGGTTGGACAGCCTGGTGTTGAGAATCTTGTTCTGACAATTGCCAAAATATCAAATGCAAAATAATCATGTGTATACTTTAAGCTCTTATTTCATTTTTATAATTTTGTTTTTTTGTTTTTTTGTTTTACTTTTACAGTGAGTGTTGAAAAGATAGACCTGAAGGGATTATCACACACAAAAAATGACAGGAATGTTGAATGTTCCTTTGAGGTAAGATGCTAAGTTTTTTCCCTCTCTCTTCTCTAAGGGCTAGGAAGAAGGCATTTGCCAGGAGTAGGTTCTTTCTTTCTCTGAGTAGAACCTGTGCCTTGTTGTGAAGCTGTGTGCGAGGGCCGTGTGAGGTAGGATGCCGGTAGTACCCTGGGGTGGGCTGTCCTCAGGATGGGGGCTGTGTGGGGTCTCTGCCAGGGAGGCACAGGTCTGCCTCTGCTAGTGTGGGAGATGTGAATAGCACTCACCGTGCGGTTTGGGGACAGTGAGCCCTGTGAGCTTTGAACACAGGGCCTGGAGTGTTGGTGGCTGCGGAGGTGAGCTGTTCTCTCTTTGCTCGTTGATGAAAGCTCCGTGGTCCACACAGCAGAAGTTCTCTGCACTGACATGCCCAGATGCTGGTAGTTGGTCACCAAGAAAGTGAAGGATGATGAAAAGTGAGCTGTGCTGTGTGTTAGGGTTAGAGGCCTGTCTCAGCAGTAGGTTAGCCGCATAGAAGTTCGTTTCTGTAGCTCCAAAGCACACAGGAGGCCCCCGCTAGACAGCAGCCATGCCCCGTCAGAGCCTCTGGGCTGCAGGCCTTCCTGGTTTCTGCCCTCAGTCTCCTGGTCCAAGGAGGTGGTGAGGGCTGCAGTCCTCACACGCTCGTTCTGGGTGAAGAGGAGGAGAAAAGTTACTTCTGTCTTTCTTTTAAGGGACATTCCTGAAAGCAATTTCACTTGTGTTGTGTTGGCCAAAATTCAGTTTCTTGGTCCTAATTAACTTAAGAGCAAGGCTGGGAAGTGTGTTCTGGCTGCCCATGTCCCCTCTTGTGTTGGGCTTCCCATGACCAAGTGCACGTTGAATCCTGCCTGATCACCAAAGGCTGCTCCCAGCATCATCGCAGAGACGTCTTGGGAGAAGGGACTTCTGGTTAACGCCTAGTGTGTACGTTGTGCAGCTTACTGCTTTATGAAACAGGGTAGCCACATCAAAATACTTTAAACCCTTTTACTGCTAAAAGGACAGCATCACCAAGGATGCTGATGGGAAGGTGAGCGGGACGCTGAACTGTCGGGGTCGTCCTGCTGCAGTTTGCCTTCCAGAATGTGAGGCAGTGCTGGGCTCTGGAGGCTGGTGCGGCCTGTGAGGGCAGCCTGAGGTCCTGTGTGGCCTGCGAGGCCAGCCTGAGGTCCTGGTGGCCTGCGAGGCCAGCCTGAGGTCCTGTGTGGCCTGCGAGGCCAGCCTGAGGTCCTGGTGGCCT